CCCCCATTTGAAATTGAGTTCGGCGCCACTGTTTCTGATGATATTCGAAATGTATTTTATTCTTTTTGTACTTAGGCGTAGAAATGGAATACCTGCAGGGAACTTTCGATTTTAGATTTTCAAAAGTAATAATATAATATATACTTCACAACAGTCAACAATCACAACACTGTTGAAAAAACATCTTATATATTATATTACAATATTATCCGTTATTTATATTTTATTTATTTATTTGCGGATAACGCCCAGCAAATCACATAAGACTAATAATTTACTAAATAGTAATATGGTTATTAGCTAAGCATTTGGAAAAATCACCTACAAAGTTATTAATTTTAATGAAATTATAAATCGCAGAATACGAGTCTGATAAAAATTGTACGTTTGACCCGTGCAGGTCGGTACCGCTATTCGTTCGACAAGCGGATGATACCAGTGTGGACGCTGTACGCGTGTCTGAATGTGTTCGTGGTGCACTACAACTACGTGGAAGGCGTGCGGTACGCGGACGGATCGTTCCGGACGTGCTTCGAGGAGTCGTACTGCTTCGCGTTGATCGAGCTGCTCAACCGGAGCGTCGGCCCGTCGTCCAACGTGATGTGCTCCATGTTCTACGGGCGGGCGGTGGCATAAGCTCGCCGGGCTGGCGGGCGCCAAACGGACGCTCCAGTTCCTGCCTGGACGACACTCGGGACGCGGTGTCGATGGCCAACCGCCTCGCCAGCGTCGCTTTCGCTGCAGTTGTACATGATGTCTGACATGATACTGGTGCCGCCGACCGTGGTGGTCGCGTACTGGTTCAACGGCATGGGCCAGATGGTAGTCTACATACTGGTGTTCGTGCAGTACTATGTGCTGGCCCGCGGGTTCGGCCGCGTCAACGACATGGTCGAGTCGCTGGACATGGTCCGCGGGCCAATCGCTGGCCCGGTTGACCGGCGTTTACGACGAGCTGTGCACGCTCGCCGGCTACGTGAACCGGGCCTACGCGGCCGAGATGCTGCTCCAGTGGGCCTACAACATCGTCCGCGTCATCATGGTCGTGTTCCGACTGATGGAGATCGTGTATTCGCTGGACAGCCCCGTGGCCAAGTATACACGCCTTATCTGTTGGTCCAGCACTTGGGCGAGCTGTTCATCTTTGTGTTGCACACGTCGCGCGTGTGCACGGTCGGCGACCGCCTGTCCGCCGAAATACTTATATACCTATTTACCAGGCGCGCACTAACACAATAGGAGGTTTGAGGGTTTCAACCCCCCCCCTCCAGAAATTTCAGGAAAATTATTAAATATTACGTTTTCATATAGGGTGAAAGTAGTTTTAGTCAATATAAAGAACATAAATATAACTTACTATAGTTCTATTATTGATATTATTAAAAGTTTTAATATTTAAAAATTCTAATATAGAGATACCCTGCAGCCTGCATTTTCAATATTTCCATTGTATTATGAATCACATTCTCGTTAAGATCTTGGTTAGATTAGAGATTTTAAAATATTATAGATCTTATATTATGAAAGTATAATTAATATAATTAGTTATTAAATTCTGTAAAACAAGCGTCTCTATAGTGGTGGGCATATAACACTATAGTTGAAATTGTGTAATCTTATTTTTAGGTTAGATTATATAAATATGAAAATGTATAAACTAACCACCCTCATCCCCCCACCAAAAAAAAAAAATGATTGTGTACGCGGTCGCCCCTGCCTGTGTATTTCTAATATCGTGTTTCGTGTCTGCGCATATTATTGTATAGGCAACTCTCTTCTAAACCCTCAAAAAACTAGATTATAATACAATAATGTAGGTATACAAAAGCCAAAGTCCAGATTAAAAAAAAAATTGAAAACTAAATACCTATTATTAAATTAGAATTTAAAAGCTATACCTAATAATTCTTAACAATCTCAACTTAAATATACATTTAACGGGCTTATACAGTTGTACCTCACTCTATAGCTTATACCTACCTGGCTACCTATCCGCGGAGTAGGTACCTACAAATAAATAAATAGATTAATAACATATTAAATGATCGCACAACCCACGTTCAAAAATGTACCTACAAAATCACAAACTTTAATATTTTTGAAAAATTGAAAAAACGGTTTGACCTCGCCTAAAAATGTTTTAGTTATTTWGCAACACCACAATTAATATTAGGTAGGGTCACTGATTTTAGCGTTTGCCGCCCTACCAGTGAAGATTTTTTTAAAACAGGGCTATAACTAAAAAGAAGAAAAAAACATATACAGCACGCTTCT